TCCTCTTTCTGCCCAAGAGGGTCTCTGTAAGCCAGTGTTCTGGGAAATGACCAGGAGTAGCCCTGACAATGAGTGATAATATGTATAACACACACTTTTGACACATGGAAGCTCAGAAACATTCATCCCATCTCCCGTCCTTTCCCTCAGAGACCAGATGAAGGCCTGGTGGTGGGGGAAAGAGATCAGGGAAGACTCCTGGGGGAGGAGGTTTGACCTGAGTCTTAAATGGGACGGGCTTGCAAAGAAAGAACTGATGGGGAAAACATTCCAGAAAGGGATCAAAGCATGATCTCAGGCTTAGAAATGGGAGCTCTGAGACATTCATGGACTGATCAGGGACTCTGGGACTCTAAACTTGGCAGTCTGGAGCAAAGGGGACATTCTGTGGCTTCTTCCCAGTCAGCAGATGGTGAGGCGGGGAACAACAGGGAACTGTTTCAGGAGACTTTGGTCTGGCTCTTTCTCTCTCTGCTCATTTGGGGCCGCGAGGAGTCCTCGGAAGCTGTATTTTCGAAACAATGGGGAGTGTGTAAAATTGATGAAATCCAAAAGGAACAGTAGCGGCTTGGCCCGAGAGTTAGCACAGCTGCTAAGGGCATGTGGCACCTCCAGGCTGGCTGCCAGCACCCCGTGTTACCCACCCAGCACTGCAGGGGAGGCCTGGAAATTCCAGAGCAGCACTGCATCTTCTGACCATCACATTGAACAGCCGGCCTGGAGGATCTCCAAAGAGGCTCCCTGAGTACACTATTTGGAAATCCCCCTCCACTTTACAAACAAACAAAACAGACAAACACTGTCCTCCCGTTGTTCATCGATTTGCTCGAGCGGGCCCAGTAACATTTCCATCGTGAGACTTGTTGTTACTGTGTTTGGCATATCCAATACGTCACGGGCAGCTTGCCAGGCTTTGCTGTGCGGGCGAGATACTCTCGGTAGCTTGCCGGGCTCTCCGAGAGGGGCAGAGGAATCAAACCCGGTTCGGCCGAGTGGCAGCGCACAAGGCAAACACCCAACCGCTATGCTATCACTCCAGCAATATTTGCTCCTCTTTATAATTATAAAGTGGTGCTATTTGCTCCACTTTATAATTATTATTCACGATCACGATCACGACCACCCTGTTGTTCATCGATTGCCTCGAGCAGGTGCCAGTAACATCTTCTTCGTCCTAGCCCTGAGATTTTTTTTTTTTAAAGTGCCATATTCAAGGCTTTTTCAGGGTTAGGAGAATGAGACCCATCATTGTTACTGGTATTTGGCATATTGGGTATACCACGGGGAGTTTGCCAGACTCTGCCGTGTGGGCATGTTACATTTGGTAGCCTGCCAGTTTGACCAAATTAGGAATGAGATGATAAGATGTCGCGTGGCTGCAAATGCGGCCGCGCGCTTCCGGGAGCTGAGTGTGATGATCTCTGGATCCTGGCCGTTGTTGGAGTTACACGGCAGTTGGTGGGTGTAACTGTCTAGTTACTGGCAGGTCCAGTCCCAAACTGTGCAGGCTTGGAGATCTCAGCCCCGGGTCCCACACACCTGGGTTCCTCTGTCAGTTCTTTTATGCGTGAGGCTCATCCAAGTGTGTGGAGAGTGGTCCCAGCATGGCCTTGGCTGGGCCTCGGTGGTCTTCAGCTGTTGGGCCCTGGTGGAGACAGTCAGGCATAGGGTAGGAGACTCTGCCTTGTTCTCTCCCAGGAGCGAGAGAATAATAAAATAAATATTATTTATTTTAATAATAAAATTTATTATTATTAAATTTAAAAACGCAAAACACCAGAAACACGTAGTTTCATTTGTATAGTGAAGCTATCAGTACTAACCTCAAAGGATTTACTTCTGCCTTTGGAGGCTATATTGGTGCTATGCGTGCCAAGGACTCTCTGTGTGTGACCTTAAGTATCCCCACAACCACTCTAGGAGGAAGAGGCTCTGTGTTTAATCCCCCTTTTTTCCCAGATAAGGACAGGATGGCTCTTACAGGCTGAGCCAGCAGCCCTGTCCCCCCAGTTTCACCCCCCTGGCTGCGTCAGAGGGAGCCCAGGTGCTGGGTGACTCAGGTTCTGAGATTTAACCACCACACAGAGCTTCAGGGAAGCCAGCGAAGGCGTCCCCAATTCCTAGGTGCGCCAGCTACAGCAGCGAGGGCTCTCAGCCAATTTAGCAGAACCCACGTCAGCTGGATGCCCCGCCTCCCGTGGACGCACACACTCAACGCATGCACCATGCAGTGGGGAGCACCACGCCCCTGCCTCATAACCCCCTTCCTGACGTTCCAGGTGCCAAGGCAGAGTACTTTCCTATTCAAAGCACTGACCCAAAGGGTTTGTGCGGGAGCCTGAGCAGAATACAGAGCTCTCACAGCAAGAGCCCACCCTGGGTTTCCTCCCGATTTCTGGTTCGGTGCTAAACCCCACCCCTGTCATCACTGGCCATCTTATCACTCGTTGGTCATGAGGTTCTTAAAATATCTCGACAGGGTGGATTAAAAATAGCAAGAGTGCTGGTGGCACCGCGCTGTGGAAGTGTCTGGAAGTGTTTATTTTCTCCCTGACACTGGACCATTCGGGGCATTGGACTGGCGGTGCTTTTGCAGGCATGGGGGTTGGGGGTACGGGTTCCAAGGCTGAGAGCACCAGGCCCTCCCTGGCAATTTGCTTTTTGGAAGTGGCACCAGAAACCAGAAACCTCCCCCAGATGGTGATCTATGCTGCAAGTATCACCCCTGGAAGCCACTGGGCCATTTGGGTCGTGACTGTACCCACTGCCTCATGAGGATGCCAATACCTTCCACATGTGCTTGCATTTAAGTCCACCAGGTTCTCGGGCAGGGCCCCTGTGGAGGGACGGAAGAAGGGAGAGAAGGAGAATGGCCGTGGTTTTGCCCTGCCAGTGGAGCATGGCTGGGAGAGATGCAGGGCGGTGTGTCTTAGCTGAGTTGCAGAGACAGAGGGGGACGAACAACAACTAGGGAGCAGGAAAGGGGCCTCCTGCCTAAGAGTCAAGCCGGGAACTGGAGAGATACAGCAGGGAGAGCATTTGCCTTGCATGGTGGCGACCAGGATTCAATCCTTCTTCTGATCCATTGAACACTGCTAGGGGCAATCTCTGAGCACAGAGCCAAGAGTAAACCCCGAGCACCTCAGGATATACCTGCCACCTCCCCCCCCCCAAAAAAAAACATTGCGAGCCTCTTGGACCTCTTTTTCTTTTTTTTCTTCTTCTTCTTCTTCTTTTTTTATTTATTTTGTTTTGTTTTGCTTTTTGGGTCACACCCAGCAATACACAGGGGTTACTCCTGGCTCTGCATTCAGGAGTTACTCCTGGGGGTACTCAGGGGACCATATGGAATGCTGGGAATTGAACTCAGGTCGGCTGCATGCAAGGCAAACACCCTACCCGCTGTGCTATCTCTCCAGCCCCTTGGACCTCTTTTTCTTAGGCCTGCTAAGCTCTGGGATGTCACCTTTTCTCTGGGGGAGATGGCAAAGCTGTTTGTCTTGTTCCTGTCAAACGGACCGTGTCTGTACCCAGTCTGCAGCCTCCCTCTCTCCTGGGCTGTCAGGGCACTGCCCCAACTTCACGCCCTGAAAGGCGTGAAGATTTCATGGCAGGACCATGAAATCTGGAATTTTCAGAGTCCAGCCCCCCACCAAATATCCGCCACTCCTATCAGGATTCAAATTCTTTCTTGAGCGCTGAAGCTGGGCTTTGCCACTTCCCATTGTGTAACCCACAGCCAGTCTCCGGGCTACCATTTTCTTCCGTAACCTGAGCAAAGGCTGAGCAGAAGGAGCTTAAACGCTTAGCTTCCTTGTGTTCTGGGAAAAGCTCAGACCAGGGCTGGGGCAGAGGCTGCTGCGTATGGGGTGGGGAGACCTCAGCACCCAGCTTTCCCCAACTACCCAAGGGGCCACTGTGGGGATTCAGAGGAACAGGACTTCCTTGAGGGACAGAGAGCAAGTCTTGTTACTTTGGGGGAGTCACAGGGAAAGTTGGAAGCAAATGGGTCACTGTGTACAACCCCTTGCAAGGATCCGTGCACCCAGCAGTGAAGGGGTTCTCTTCCCCAGTCCCTCCTCCTGCCACAGCCTCTTGGGAGACAGAACTTGGGGGTTCAAATGTACAATCTGCACTTTATTTTGCTTATTATTAGGGAAGGAGGTCAATTTGGGGGTTTAAATCTGTAATCTGTCCTTTGTTGTATTTACTTTTAGGGAGCGATAGCACAGTAGGTAGAGTGTTTGCCTTGCATGGCAGCCAACCCGGGTTTGATTCCTCTCTCCGTCTTGGAGAGCCCAGCCGAGAGTATACCGCCCACACGGCAAAGCCTGGCAAGCTCCCCGTGACGTATTCAGTGTGGCAAAAACAGTAACAAGATGTCTCAGAATGGGGACGTTACTGGTGCCCGCTCGAGCAAATCAATGAACAACGCAGGAGGACAGTGCTACAGTGCTACATTTTTAGGGAGCGGGAGTCACACAACAGAGCTCAGGACTTTCTCCTGGCTCTTTGCTCCGGGATCACTTCTGGTAGTGCCAGGGATTGAACCCGGGTCGGTCACATGCAAGGCAAACAAACTCCTCCTCCACTCTCCTACCTCTCTCAGTGCCCACCTGTCAGTCCTTCAGAGCTATGGGGAGGAGTCTCTGAGTTTCCCGCCACAGTCCTCCCTAGCTGGTGCCAGAGGGTAGGAAGCAGCGCACCCAGCTGAGGAACCACAGGGTTCAGGCCCCCACCCGGCGTCCCTGCCAGCCACCGGTCCCTGGGAACTGGAGTCTGCCGGGTCTCCACATCCCAGGGCTCAGGGGGTGTCTGTGTTGTTTGTTAGCCACTCCCCAGGTGGGAGAGGATTTGCAATTCAACACTCTGCTCTTGTGACTTGGCGGGGCTCCTAGGGCGTAAAGGGAAGCCGGAGGCCCTGGGCTTAGTGTCCCCAGCCCAGCCTCCCAGCCACTGGGTGACTTGGGGGGCATTCCTCTGGGGCCACCAGGGAGGAGGCTGTCACTATCCTGCCAGTGGGTCATGGAGGAGCAAGATGGCACCTGCGGCTCCAGCTGGGAGACCCCACAGGACAAAAGCAGCCCGGAGTCCCCTTGGTCATGGGTAAGGGCCTGCGCGTGGCCATCTGTGTGCTGCCGCCCCAGCCCGGGAGGGCGGTGGGACCGTGGGATCCTGGGTGTCCGCGAGTCTCATTTCAGACTCTTTCCAAACCTCTCCAGCCCCATAGGGGGACTGGCTGCTCGGATTATGGCTGCAGCTACAGGAGGGTTAGAGCTTATCCGGGAGGGAGAAACGTTATCCTGAGCCTGGATAGAGAATCTGTCGTGATGGTTTCGATCCTGAAGTCAGGGACTGGGCTTCTTCCTTGCGGGTGTAGGGCCGTAGGCTGGGGTGCACCCTTGCACCCTCATATGGGGCTGTCACTTAAGAATCTGGGAGACCTTGATGCACATGTGTGGAATGACTCTGCCCTCCAGCACCTGCCTGCTGGGGGCTGTGCCATCCGGCCCCTTCCTGTCCTGCCTTTCCTAGAACTGAGCTCAGAGCCCAGGACTATTGGTTAAGCACAGTTATAATAGGAGGAGGAGGAGAGAGTGGTTGGTGAGGAGCTTGGGCATTGAGAAAGGAGTTGGGACTAGGATTCATGTTGGGCTCCTCCTTCCAGCGGCAGAGGTGGGGTCGGCTGTGGTGAAGACGGTGTCCCCCACTCCCATCCCCGGACCAACCATGCTGCTATCTGGACCCTCAGCTGCAGCAGGCCCTGGAGGCCTCAGCCTTCCTGGGAATTTGAATCAAGGCTGTCACATTTGCTCAGGTCCCCCAAGGCATCTGTGTCACCTTAGTTCCTCCATAGTGTGGCCTTGTCCCTTCAGTGGCAAAAGGCTCTGCTGGGGCCTTGCTGTGTGCTCATTTTGAGGTGCAGTGGGGGTACCTCAGGAAGAAAGGGGGGCTTGGAGCATGTTCTGTCTCTGCCAGCCTTGAGCAACTGTGTCCACGGTGCATGGTGCTAGGAGAAGCCTTACCCGGGGCTGCATAAGGGACCCCCTCTACAGCCCATGCCAGAATGGGGTCTGCCCCTGAGAATGCAGCGCCAGTTAGTACCCCCACTCAGATCCAATAGACCAGATTTGTTCAGTTGTCTATGGTTTTGGGGCCACACCCATAAAGGAGTAAGCTCAGGAATTACTCTTGGCTCTGTGCTCACTGGCAGGGCTTGGGGGACTCTCTGGGCTGCTGGGGGTGAAACCTGGGTTTGCCTTGTGCAAGGCAAATGCCCTACTTGCTGTACTATCACTATAGTCTCAGACTTATTCAGCTTGGCGGGGTCCTGCGGAGGACCCACAGTGCTGGAGATACTTAATGATGGTGATGTGGGCCCGACCATTAGGCATCTGTGGTTCTCAGGGGTTACCAGGGCTCTGCCTGGCGGTACTTGGGGTGGGATTGGGAACCACAGTGCCAGGAATCATATTCAGGAAATCACGCATGCAAGGCAAGTGCTACATGCCTGTGAGATTCTTGTGCTGTGCTGTGCTGGGGAGATAGACTTCAGTGTCTTGTGCTGTTCTGGGATGTCCTGGCGTTGTCATGCCCCCCTGCTGACCGAGGACCCACACTGAACTCCCGGGAAGCTCCCCCAGGACCCCCACTTCTCCATAGCCCTGAGATGTGCATCTCATTTTCCAGGGTCTTATTTCCTTAACCCCCTTTCCTCCTAAACACACACACACACACACCACACACACACACACACACACACACACACACACACACACACACAAGATCTCTCATTTCACAGCTGGAAAAGCTGAGGCAAGGGATAAAGGCCTTGGCAATGGCAGCTGAGGGCTGGAAGGGAGACAGGAGACAGGAAGCTGGCCAGGGGGGCCCCTGGGGCCACTTTGAGCCCCTGTCCTGCAGGTGTCCCCTGAAGGGAAGCCCTGCCAATACTTTTCCTGTTTCTGTGGTCTGCAGAGCCCTTAATTCCCCTGCCTGGATAGGTAAGCTCACTGGTCACTAAACACTTAGGGTCTAGAGCAAAGTGAAAGTAAAAGATCGACAGCATCCCCAAAGCCCTCAGGGAGCAGGGAGCTACTGTCACAGGGGTGACACTTCAGTTACAGTGAGGTCCCAGAAAGGGTTCCTGCCCACCTGGGTCTCCCCTTGCCCTGACCCCCTCCATGTCCCATTGCCAGCAGCGCTTTGTTCTAAAGCCCAGCTTAACCCAGTCTGTAGTCCCTCTGTTGGCCTATAGGGCCCTGGAACCTGTGCTGGTGGCGTCTTTATGTGAGTGGGCCCCAGCAGGGGCTGCCAGGCTGGAGCTATAACACTGATGGACTGACAGGCTTCAGGGAGCAAGAATTTGGCTTTGGCTGGTGCTGCTTCTGGAAGGATCTGCCTGATCTGCTGTATTACAGAGGATGGAGCACAGAGAAAGGCCCCCTGAGCACTACAGGGAAGCAGGGAGGCCTCACCCTCTGATAGAGACAGAGAAGGGGCCAGGCAGGGTCCTGGATTAGGCCTTAGAGGACAGAGTAGGCTTGAGCCTAATCGGGGAAGCAGCGAGCAGGGAGGCAGAGCAGGGAAGGGTGGCCAATGCCTTCCCAGAGGCCTGGCGCCGGTGCAGAGCACTTGGGAAGGGAAAGCCGAAGGCAAAGGCTGAGCTGCAGCTGCCATGGCGGGGAGCCTGGCTGGGCTGGCTGTGCCGGAAGGCTCCGGCCGGGCCTCTGGCAGCCGGGCAGCCTCTGAGACACCTGATAGCCTGGGCTGCTGACAGTCCCAGCATGTTCTGGATGGGCTTCAGACCCTCCGGGTTGCAGAGCCTCCTGTAGAGGCCTGGGTCCCACCTCAGACAGCCCAGGGGGCACCACCTGTGACAGGGTGAGGTGGTCTTGCCAGCCGCAGGCACAGGCCAGGAGGGGCCAGCAAAGGCGTAACCAGGAAGCTGTCCCTGAGCCAGGCTTCGGTGAAGAGTAGGGTTTCAATCAACAGCGCAGGGGGGCCAAGCGGGAGACTCAGCCTGGGTGTGGGCAGGGCTTTGAGAGGACAAGGCGTTCCCGACAGCTAAGCCTGGCGGGTTGGTTCCACAGGCTGCTTGGGGTTTCCTTTCTCCTCAGATGGGCCCTCCACAGTCTGAGGAAACTAACAGTCAAAGATGTGCCACCCAGAGTGATTATGTGTAGGTGGGAGCGGGTGGGGGCGGGCAGGAGTCTTCAGGACCTGGGCTCAAGCCCCAGTTGTATTCGACTTATTTCGTTATTTATTTATTTGGGGCTTGGGGACCACACCTGGTGGTGCTCAGGACTCACTCCTGGCTCTGTGCTCTCAGGGATCACTCCTGTTGGGACTCTGGGTATGGGATGCCTGGGGTCAAACCAGGGTCGACTGCCCGCAAGGCAAGTGCCCTTCCCATGGTACTCTCTCTCCTGTCTCTCATGTCACAGTTTTACAGGTTTGGGTTTCCTGGAGTCTTACTTTTGTCACCTGCAAAATGGGGCTTATTGTACCGAATAACACATATCCAGAGTTACTGCTGGTACCTGGTAGCTAAGAGAGAAAAAAAAATAAATCTTGAGGAGGGGGTGGGGGGGAGGAAAAGAAAGGCTGTAATTCATAGAAAGGCTGTTCTTCATTGGTAAATAACCCAGGAAAGAGGATTGAATCTGTTGGTCCTGGCACTGGTCATCTTTGTGCCAGCTCTGAAGGAGGAAGCACACCAACCCCTGAGGATCTCGAGTTTACTCTTTGACCAGACATTTAAGCTCAGCATTCGAGACCTCCCAAAAGCTGCTCTCACCTGCGTCCTTTCAGCTCAGTTCTCTCCTGCTGTGTCACATATGCTGTGATTTTGTTTGGTTTGGGTTTTTGGACCACACCTGGCAGGGGTCAGGCCTTTTCTTGTCTGTGCTCAGGGATCACCCTTGTTGGGGTTCAAGACTCTGTAGGCAGTGCTGGGATCAAACCGGGGCCAGCCATGTGCAAAGCAAGCTTCCTTCCTGCTGTCCTGTCTCTCTAGCCCCTCGCATGCTGTCTTGGGAGACACTGAGCCAGTTATGCTTCTCCAAGTCCAGCAGGGTGAGCGGTCGGACCCGGTCCTGCCTGCTCCAGCTCCTGTGCTCTGAGCCTTGTCTGTGGCCTGGTCCCCTCTGGTAACACTGATCAAAGGCCTAGACAGAGGCAGACATCACCCTCGTGAGCGAGCCCCTTCCTTCAGCCACCTCTGGACCCATGCCTGAAAGTAGTGTGGGCAGACAGGGGAACTCCAGCGCCCCCTGCAGCCTGAAGCCCCTGTTTTCCTCTCTGGCTGGAGAAATTGTTCAAGAGGCTACTGCCTTGGGTGGTCCAAGGCCACCAGCTCCTATGAGTGGGCTCGGTGGGAACAGAGGGGAAACACTGACTGGGCTCGTCTCCGTGGGTTCCCTGCTGGAAAGCAGAACTTTGGGGGGCTTTGCTCTGGTTTCCAGCATGCAGGCTCCCCCCTTGATCCCACCTTCAGGTGGAAGGGTTCGAGACCTAGAGCTCCTCCTGGAGGTGGTCTCTGCCATGACACACAACTACTCAAAGTAATGGGACTTCAGCGACAAGAAGTTAGGATGAGGGTCGGGGATGTCACTCAGGGATGGAGAGCTTGTCTTGCATTTTTGATCTCCAGTGACAAAAAAAAAAACCCAAAAGCAAAAGTGGATGAATACACTGACTCAGTGTAACTAGATGGCACAAGAACAAAATCACGGATTGTTGAGTCTATTGGAATCCTTTGCCATTTCCCTTGTGATTTCACTCTCAGAACTGTGGGAAAACGTTCTGCCTGTTGCACAGAGACTGCAAATCCATCCCATTCTTCAGAATCACAGCCCTACTCATCCTTCAAGGGTTGCCACAGGGAGAGGGGGAGGGATACTGGGGACATTGGTGGTGGAACATGTACACTGGCGGAGGGAGGGGTGTTTGATCATTGTATGACTGAAACTCAAACATGAAAGTTTTATAACTGTAGCTCATGGTCACTGTCACTGTCACTGTCCTCCCGTTGTTCATCGATTAGCTCGAGTGGGCCCAGTAACGTCTCCATTGGAGACTTTGTTGTTACTGTGTTTGGCATA